CACTAAAAAATTATTTAAAAGTCAAAGACCCGAAGTTATCAAGGGTTTTGATGGTTCAAAATAACGTTTACGCTGCCGTGCAAGGTGCAATTGGAGAAGACAGGCTGCAGGAAACTTGCAGTTTTCTCCTGGGCAACCACCACACTATTATTTTGACGAACAGTTATGGCTGCAGCAGAAGACTCAGGTTGGCTGCGAACATTGCATTGCTCACGTCATCTTATTTACGCACGAGCGTGCGCAAATAAAGATTTTGTTCATAACGGCTCAATAGGAATTATATAAGGCAAGCACGCGCGCTACGTTATAATTTATTATTGCGTTAGTATCTCACGCACTTGTGGCTTTCTGTGTTATGCAATTGTTGTGTTAGTATCTCGCGCTTGTGGTTTTATGTGTCACCTATTGTTGCGTTAGTATCTCGCGCACTTGTAGTTTTCTCTGTCATTTGATCTTTACGTTATTACTTCGTTCACTGGTAGTTTTCTGTGTCATTTGGTTGTTGGGTTAGTATCTCTTTACTTGTAGTTTCCTCTGTCGCTAGATTGTTGCGTTAATATCTTGCGCACTGTTTGGTCTGTCAATTGATTGTTGTTCTAGTATCTCGTTCACTTGTAGTTTCCTCTTTCATTTGATTGTTGTGTTAGTATATCGCGCACTTGTGGTTTTCTCTGTCATTTCATTGTTGCATTAGTATCTCGTGCACTTGTAGTAGTATTTTGTGTCATGTAATTGTTGCATCAGTATCTCGCGCAGTTGTGGTTTTTTCTGTGTCATTTGATTGCTGCGTTAGTTTTTGTGCAATGATAATTTTGTTTGTCACTCGAGTGCTGAGTTCTTAACTTGGTCACCTTTACTCCTTTATGTCACTTCATTGTTGCGTTTCTATCGCGCACACTTGTAGTTTACTTTGTCAATTGATTGTTGTATTAGTTTCTCGTTTGTTGGTATTTTTTGCGACTAGATTTTTGCATGATTATGTAGTGCACATATAGTTTTCCCTTTACCTTATTGCCACGTTAGTTTTCTGCGCAATTTAAGTTTTTTTTTAAATGATTATTCGATTAAGACGTTTGCATCTTACTTACTCTATATTTTTTCTGTCGTCTGATTCTCAAGGTTGCAACACGCACAATTTCATTTTTATCTGTTGCTTGATTATTACGTTTGCATCTTGTGCTCTAGTAGTTTTCTCTGTTATTTAACCTTATTATTCTTTATAGTGTTCTTCTTCTTTCGATTTTTACGTCAATATGTTGCACACCAGTTTTTTCTTCGGTTGCCATGTCTGTTTATCCGCTTGTTTTTCTGTTTTAGGTATCAATTTAAGTCTTTTAAAGATGATCGGTTCAGACTATTAGTCAAAGTAAAATTTTTCCATAGGTTGTTTCTTGAACTTGGAAGCAGTATTTTAAGGGCAAGTCCCTCTATTGTATTCGAATGATCCCCCTTATTGGCATTCAATGCTCTGTATTTTCTCTTTTTATACTCTGTTAGCGACGACTGATGCCCCTTCTGTTCCCTTGAAAATCACGTGATGCTCCTCAAGATCCTTCGAACCCCCCTTCCCCACCCACCCTAGGTGAAAGTTAATAACTGGTTCCCAACGATTAACTTGACTTCTCGTCCCAGGGTTCTCCCCATCGTTTCAATTCAAGATGGCGCGATTAGGAGTAATAAGATGCAGGACTCCCAGCAGTCTTTTCGAGTGTTAAGATGCGATCACCGGCCATGTTGCCAAAGAAGAAGAGAAGAAGACTCTCAAAATTCTTGTTCTATGGCATTTTGCAGAGGTTTGTTCCTTGTTTGAAGTATTTGAAGCGACTAAAGTATTTTGATTACTTCACGCTAATCTTGAGATACTTAATATTCACTCTGTTTTTTCGCTGGATTCGGGACACGTGCAGGATCTACACAGCATACTCTTTAAAGGAGAAAGATTTTCTCGCTTACAGTATCACTTCGTGAGAAATGAGAATGTGGAATACGGAGAATATATTGCTAATATTAGGATGCAAAGGGTTAAACAGATATACAATAGTTGTATCTTCTCATTTTGTTAGCGTAAAACATGTTTGCCGTAACTGATTAAATGACCAATGTTCAGACTGCGGACCCTTTCACCCTTAAGCTTGCCCAAGTGATATGTATACTTCTCTAAGCAATCTCAAGACATTATCCTGAAATAAGGTGATAAGAAAAGGCAAGCTAATCAGTTTAACCCTTGAACTCCGAGATCAAATTTGTAATTCTCCTTACTGTCAACCATACAATTGTTATGATGTTAGTGTAGAGAATTTAGTATTGGCTCAACTTATTATCTTCAAACGGATATTTTCCTTTGTTCTCATCACTTATCTGGTTGATATTGTGTTGATATTGTAAGGAGAGATTCTGTCTTGGTCACCCATGGGAGTTAAAGGGTTAAGGATTTTGTAGCAAGACATCACCACTTTCCTTCTGTCCCTTTTTTTATCACAAGGAAATGTAAGGTAAGGACAGAGGGAATTGTTAGACAGAGTTTAGAAGTTCAGGATTTTCTCACAGTTTCCTATGTTAAGGGATCCTCATCCTGCTAAGATAATTCATTTTTGCTGGTATTTCAAAGTGAACGAAGTCTGATTGACTAACTGTGTCATCACTGACTGACCTGACTTACTTTGTGATTACATTACTGACTGACTGACTGACTTACACCTCACCTGTAGTCTGTGATTACATTACTGACTGAATGACTGAGTGACTGAATTGCACCTGTACTCTGTAATTGCATTACTGACTGACTGACTGACTTACACCTGTACTCTGTGATTGCATTACTGACTGAGTGACTGACTTACACCTGTTCTCTGTGATTGCATTACTGACTGAGTGACTTACTGACTGACTGACTTACACCTGTACTCTATGATTGCACTACTGACTGAGTGACTGACTTACAACTGTACTCTATGATTGCACTACTGACTGAGTGACTGACTTACACCTGTACTC